TTAGCTTAGCTTACCTTAGGCTAGCGTAGCTGAGGGACCCAAGTGGTCCTAGCTTAGCTTAGCTTAGGCTAGAGTAACTGAGGGACCCAAGAGGACCTACATTAGCTTAGCTTAGCTAAGCATAGCTTAGCTTAGCTTAGCTTAGCATAGGCTACAGTAGCTGAGGGACCCAAGAGGACCCAGGTTAGCTTAGCTTAGTTTTGCATAGGCAAGTGTAGCGGAGGGACCGAAGAGGGCCTAGCTTAGCTTAGCTTAGCTTAGCTTAGCTTACCTTAGCTTAGCTTACCTTAGCTTAGCTTAGCATAGGATAGAGTATCTGAGGGACCCAAGAGGACCTAGCTTAGCTTAGCTTACCTTTGGCTTGAGTAGCTGAGGATTCCAAGAGGACCTAGCTGAGCTTAGCTTAGTTTAGGCTAGAGTAGCTGAGGGATCCAAGAAGACCTAGCTTAGCTTAGCTTAGCTTACCTTAGACTAGATTAGCTGAGGGACCCAGGAGGACCTAGCTTATCTTAGCTTAGCTTAGCTTAGCTTAGGCTAGAGTAGCTTAGGGACCCAAGAGGACCTGGCTTAGCTTAGCTAGGTTTGGGAGGAGGACTACACCATTGTGGACCTAGCTTAGCCTAGAGTAAACCGGAGTACTATAGGCTAAGCGAAGTGAAGCCCGGTCTGCTGTGTTCTCATTTTCTTCCTAAACCTAGGCTACTCTAGCCTAAGCTAAGCTATGTACACAATGGTCTCATCTGCCTCACTAATCTAGGATAATCTATGGTAACCTAAGCTACCCTGAGCTAAGTTACCCTAGGTCCTCTAAGGTCCGTCAGCTACTCGAGCCAAAACTCAACTAGGTACTCTATGTCCCTCAGCTACTCTAGCCTAAGCTAAGATAGGTCTCTTAGGTCCATCAGCAACTCAAGCCTAAGCTAAGCTAAGCTAAGTCCTCTTGGGTCCCTCTGCTACTCTAGCCTAACGTAAGCTAAGCTAGATAGGTCCTCTTGGGTCCCTCAGCTACTCTATCCTAAACTAAGCTAAGATAAGCTAGGTCATCTTGGGTCCCACAGGTACTCTAGCCTAAACTAAGCTAAGCTAAGGTAGGTTATCCTGGGTCCCTCAGCAACACTAGCCTAAGCTAAGCTAAGCTAATCTAGGTACTATAAGGTCCATCAGCTACACTAGCCTATGCTAAACTAAGCTAATCTAAGGTAGGTCCTCTTGGGTCCCTCAGCTCCTCTAGCCTAAGGTAAGCTAAGCTAACCTAGGTCCTCTTGGGTCCCTCAGCTACTCTAGCCTAAGCTAAGCTAAGGTAAGCTAGGTTCTCTTGGGTCCCTCAGCTACTCTAGCCTAAAGTGAGCTAAGCTAGGTCCTCTTGGGTCCCTGAGCTACTCTAGCCTAAGCTAAGCTAAG